AAACGTAGCCTTTGTTTAATATACAGGATAAACAAGGACGTCTATTGTATAGGCCGTGGCCTAAATGCACGGTGTAAACGTAGCCTTTATGTGTATTCTACAATAGCTATAAGCGTAATTGCAATGTAAATGATTGTAGTTGTAAAAATTGATCAATCACATTGGATTGATCACAGTGAAATATGAAGAGAATATTCTACTATGATTGATCAATTCTTACAACCACGCTTACACAATTGTAGTATAAGCTTCAAAATTTTATAATTGCTGTTCGTTCGTCGTCCCTGATTGCGACGATAATTTGGATTACCCCGTAAATGTCACGTTTTTCCATGCAAATATTTTTTCTTAGGCATAAATTGCGTTAAATCGACAATACACAAATTCGATAATGATTGGCGGAATGCTCGTTCGACGCAAATGTAAATACCTACTTAAAAAACGATTGTATTCGGCGTCAATATTGATTTCTCGCCATGCTGAATTCTCTTAACGTTTTTTAATAAATTTCAGCTGACAAATCGTTCTCTCTCTGTGTTTTTTAGGTAGAATAAAATTGCAGTCGCTTCCATTATTTGTCGTTATCAAGCATGATCGACGATTTATTCTATTTATTAGTAAAGTGCATATTATATTGCACAATGAAGTGAAACGAAATGAAAATGAGGTAAAAATTTGAAAATAGCTTAATCGAGCGAGAATACGATTAAATTCTGATTATTACATTAATTATATATGACGCTGAAACTGGCCGCAGCCAGCCGCCGATCAGGGCCGAATAGGCGGCGCGCGCGGGCCCCCGATGGAAATTTTTATTCTCGTGCTCGAGAATCGTTTAAAATGTAAAAATTATTTATCGAACTTCAAACATAAAGTATGGAGTGGATAAAATAGGTTACATTATTACAATATTTTAAATAATTTTTTTCATAAAGCGCGATTTCTTGACAAAAGTACTACAGCGGTACTTTGGCACCTCGTAAGGGGATACGAAAGAATTTTTTCCAATCGAGTAAAACAACCGCTGTTAGTACTTTTGTCGAGACACGACGTCCGATTCGCCCGCCCTCGTAGTTAAAAAAATCGTTAAAAATTTAATAAAGGGCCGTTCCTCTTTTCTAATCGATACCGATCGATTGTTCATGATGTACTCTATTGGAAAAAATTCTTTCGAACCCCCTTACGAGGTTCCAAAGTATCGCTATTAGTACTTTTGTCAAAAAGTCGCGCTTTATGAAAAAAATTATTTAAAATATTGTAATAATGTGACCTATTTTATCCACTCCATACTTTTTGTTTGGAGTACAATAAATAATTTTTACATTTTAAACGATTCTCGAGTACAATAATAAAAATTCCCGTCGCGGGCGCCCACGGCGCACTCGGCCCTGATCGGCGG